AAATATTCAAAATGGAAGTGAGATGACCTGGGGAGAGCATAACGTTACTTACAAGGCATTAGACAGGGCAGGAAATGCTGCGTACTGTAGATTCCTTTACACTATAGCTGGTAGGTTATGCTTTTTTCATTAATTTTTAAGGGGTTGGATCGTTTTGAAGGCTAAAGCTCAGGTGGGATGGGGAGGGGGTTGATATTCCCGAGAAAATCAGGCTATGTGTTTCTGGAAAACCTTGTTTCTATTTTAAACCAAAGTATATAACTTTTCCTTCCTCGTTTCAAACCTGCACTGAATTCCATTACTACTCTAAACCTGACCTTAACAGCTCGTACACTCTGATACATGATTCCACCTATACTCGGCTAGCAAATGATTTGAATTGCGTCCACATTTAAGAAGTTCTTCAGTTAATAATTTTGCGTCTCTTATGAGCTCTGCTTGGCCAATTGTACACGTCGGTTCCAGTCCAGAGGGACTTATCCCGTTTAATATAAAAACAATGTAAGTGCACCAAGGCTAGCGCTAAATAAGCTTACTTTTTGGCGCCTCACATCTACATATATAGCTCACTCAAAAGAGAGAACAGTTAAGCCATAACACTAGAATGCGAGCAGTCTCTCTTTTTGTTCAGATTTAGTGAGAGCAATGCACGCGCGCGGGAGCGGCGAAGCCGCGAGACGCGCGAACCCGTCTCGCGTCATCAGTCACGCGCGTGGCCATTTGCGAGTCTCGCGTTTTGCTCGACGGACTTCAGAAAAAAGAGAGACTGCTCGTAGTCTACCATAACACTTTTCTCTAAAACTTACGAATGGTATCAGTCATATCATTAATCAATAATTATCATTATTTATTATCAAGATTCACCATGTGAAGAGCTTGCACCACCTAAGAATGGAGCCAAAGCGTGTGAAACGTGGTTGGCTGGGCTTATGTGCACGGTACATTGTAATAACGGATATGGATTTGCAAACCAACCGCATCCCGTATATTTCTGTCGTCCTACTACTGGAGAATGGTTGCATGAAGGGGACAACAAAGGGAAAAAACCATCCCTTCCTGATTGCTCAAGTAAGGAACTGCAATACAAGAGTCAACTTTCTTTAATTTAAGATGGACTTGACCGTTGTGATCGGAGACTGGACAACAGCAGGGACCAACTTTAGGGGTACTTACCATTTACATTCGGGGAACTGGAAACATACGGGGAACCGATCCCTTTGAAAAATCTACTTGTGCGCGCCATTCCGTTTGGGAAACTCCAGAAGATACTGGCTTTTTTGATGCGATGCGATTTTTCTACTCTTTTTAGGATTTCAGATGGTATGGATATACTTTGTGGGGATCGTTTTTCCTTGATATAAAATTTAATGGTTTTTGTAAATGGCAAGCACCCCTAGTGTCTATTTTAGAGAGATGTTAGTCTGATAGAAGTTTTCGTTAAGAGAGAGTTCAGTGAGAGTTGACTTTATTAATCTTAACTCTCATCTTCAACTTTTCCCGTATCGCATAACTGATGGGCTTAATTAAGGTCTGCTAAAATCAAGGACCGTAGCTTAAACGCAGTATTTTTTTTCGTAAAGGCGCCTACATTACAGGTAAGCAATTAACATCTGAATATCGGTTTACTCAACAAGGGTAACCAAGGTCATTAGCTAACGCATGTCTTTGTTGGGAAAGAGGTTTAGTTGTGATTGGACGGTTAATGTTCACTTGGGTGCCCCACCTCATTGAGTTTGTTAAGTCATAACCTATTAATTTTTTCAATTATTTTTCTCCATAATAGAGACACACATACCCAAAAGTGCTTTGGTGAACGGGCAATACCACTATCTCACTGACAATTGTGGCGGAGAAGGAATGAGAGAAGAGATCGCAAGGAACTTCATAGAACTTTTAATGACAACATCGTTTGGTCAAGCTGGAGCTTGTAGTGACGTCTCTCAGTGTAATATTCAAAACGTCAAGGTCGAATGTGGCGTTACAACTCGTCGAAAAAGAGATACGACTAGTAACCAAAATACGACGACAATTCCTTTGACTATTAGCTTTTCGTTACAAATTCCTTTATCTGGCGATCTCAACACCTCTGTGGATATAAACCAGACATCCGTCCAAATTTCGAAGGAAGTACTAACTGTTCTGAGCAAAGTCGATATGACTTTGAATGTCAGTGGAATGGTTATACGTACAGATCCTTCAAAACCTCCACAATTTCAGCTCTCTCGTCTGGTTTGTGAAGAGGGGCAAGTACAGAGTGGAGTGATGTGTGGTAAGGGCATCATGGTCCAAATGATAAGTCTTTTTTGATTCAGTTACTCCGGCGGCTGTTGAGTTCTTTACTATCTTTCAGCCGTCAGTGGCTCATATTTGACGCCTCATGCAAAATATTTTCGACATACAGTCAACTCTCGCCTTGCAGACACCCCGCTATAACGGACAGCAGCTAATTAAATCCCCGGCAAAAACAAGTTGCAGACGTTTGACTGAAATAAACTCCCGCTATTACGGACTCTCGCTAATGAGGACACCACCTCGAGGTCCCTACAGTGTCCGCTATAAAGGGAGTTGACGTATCCCAAATTTTTGTCCCTAAAGTTCCCAAGAAAATGTTATCGAGAACTCCAAACTGGGAAGTGATTCTGTCAATATAATCGGTCCACAGTAACAAGTAATTAAGGTTTTCCTAACGAAAAGAAGGAAGGAACCATATACTTTGACTTCGATAATAAGGCAGGGATTCTTGACGATGCTTAGTGACCCATAACAAACTTCAAGTAAAGTTTTCTTTTCTAGGAGATACATATAGGAAGCGCCTAGTTAGCTAGCATCGAGTGTGTGTCGCTATGTTTTATGGTTGAAGTAAGTAAAAATG